GTAGAAGAAGTGAAGAAAAAAAACAAGGGAGGTGCTGTCAGCCCTCTAAAGAGACAAGTTTGAAAAAAAGATTTCCAACAATGGCATTGCAGATTTGACTAATGTCTGAAGTGTATTGGAGAGTACTTTGAAGGTGATAAGGTTGTTTTGTAAAACAAAACAAAAAACTTAAATACATATTTTTGAAAAAGAAATACCTTTTTTGGTTGTTTTTGTTTTTTTTTGGGGGGTACTCCCTCGTATATCATGTACTATGCTGTGATAGAAATGGATAAATAAACATAGCTAAGGATGGTCTGTTGCCGGAGAAGGTCCAAGGGAGGAGGTGGTTTGAATGCCCTGCGTTTCCAACTGGTGACATCAACTCCAGCAATGCAACTATTCGTATTAGCTCAGCCCAATGCCAAGTGCCAGAGCCCAGACCTTGAAAAGTTGCAGGGCAGGCCCGAGGTGATTTTGGAGAACACTCCCAAGGATCAACCTTAGACCATGAGGACCTCAAGGTTAGAGGTAGGATAGAGGCTAGGTGGGAAGGGCTTCACACTGTTAAACTTTTACTCCAGCCGAGAAAGGCACCAGGCTCCAGGAGGTGGTCCCTTCTTTCAGGGTCCCCAAATGTCTAGTCGGCTCTCATGAGATTCGTGTGGAATATGAACTTCTGTATCTTTGGTTTCTTTTTGATCAGCTCCTCTGGCAAGGGTCCTCCTTTCGTTTTTCTATTGTTCTCCTTTCCCCTGCTCATCTAGTACTGCCTCGTGTCCATCCTGCAGGGTGCCTGGCATTTTAAATATGTTAATTCATTCTTCACACAATCCAGGGTGGGAGGTGTCAGACCTACTGCATTGCTTTAGAGGTAAGGATCCTAAGGCTCAGAGTGGTAAGTCAAGGCAGCTGAGTCGCGGAGCTGCTGGGTTGTGGGGAAGAGCCTCAGGCTCAGAGCTCTCTGTTCTCCTCGGAGTCTGTCCAGGCACCCAATTATCAATACATTGACTCGATATTGCTGTCTTCCACTTTGATGTCTTATTTTCATTCCCACCCCCCTATGTATTCTGAAAGAACTACGTAAATCCTTACAGGAGTAGATAGCCTCATTTTTTGAGCACCTGTCCTAGATAGCCTCATTTTTTGAGCACCTGTCCTAGCAATTAGCATCCTAACTTGGAGACCACTACACCACCAATCAGAATCGACTCAGTGGCAGTGAGTGAGGGATTGAGTGAATGATTCTCAGTTTCTAGAAGGTTCTACCCTCTATTTTAAAAGCCCTGCAAACTCCCCCTCACCACCACCCCCCCACACACTCACACACAGTTTGAGGCTTTGATAAAGTACAAGAAAAACTACAATTCCCATGAAGCCCTGATCCCAGGATTTTGTTGCCTTGTTTTTCTCTAGGTCCTAGTCAATAAAGACATTATAAGGTTGATTTTCTTTAGTTTTGCTTTGTTTCTTATTTTTCTCAGGATGGTTAATTGCCCACCGAAGGCTCTTGCCTCACATACTGGGCTCTGTCCCGTTGCCTTTTTCACCTTGTTCACACGATGTCCACGAATGGTGTAACCGGTTGCCCTGGAAACCTGATCTTGGCCTCGTACTTGTCTGACACCCCATTCTGAGCTAGTGGATGGGCCCTGGGATGAGCTGAGCCCACTTATCCCTCTACCAGCCTCCCAGGGTGCTTCTGCAGGGAGAGCAACGTGCTACATGCATTGGCTTGTGTGTACGGGGAGCATCTGTCAAGTTTCCATTGCCGTCAAGTCAATTCCAACTCCTAACCACGCTATCGAATTGCGCAGAGCTGCCACGCCGGGTTTCCAAGGCTGTAATGTGTCCCTTAGCAGAACTCTCAATTTAGCATCAGCCCCAGGCTTCGAGGTGGGTTATAACGACCAACCTTTCAGTTCGTAGACAAGTGCTTAATTATTGTGCCCCCAAGAGTTCTTTGACATGAATAGGGCCCCCAACTCTAGCTACACACATAATACTAGGACTACATTTTCCTCTTTCCCTTACAATTAGGTGAGTCCATGTGATGAAATTCTGGTCAATGGGAGTAGAAGAAATGTGCCCTTGAAGGGAGAGGCAGCCCTGCTGCCCTCTTTGCACTCCACTGCTAGCCCGGGACTCGGGCGAACCCTCTAACCATCACCGTAAGGCATGGAGGACCAACAAGAGAGGGCTTGGTACCCTTCACCAGAGTCACCATATCAACCCTGACTGCTTACCTTCAGGTTGTTCACAAAGAGAAAGGGAGATGTCTGCCTTCCTTCTGGCGGTTGCCATTCTTGTGCGGTGCCACCGAGTTGGTCTGACCCACAGCAACCTTTGGCAAATCAGAATGAAACCTTGCCAGCTCCCGTGTTGTCCTCACAGTTGTGTTTGAGTTTGAGCCCATTGTTGCCTCCGCCCCGAAGGGCCCATTGTCTGGCACCATCTCTGAGAGTGTTCTGCTTCCATTCGTTCAGCCTTCAGTGTCTGACAATGTTTTGATGTGATGCATAAGGTTTTCAGGGGCTCCTTCCTCCACACTGGGGAACCGAGTCCTTCTTCCTGGTCTCTTCCAGGTCTGGAAGCTCTGCTGCAACCTGTTCACTTGGGGTGACCCTGCTGGCTTTGAAATACCAGGGACACAGCTTCCAGGATCGTGGCAACCCACAGACAGGTGTTGGTCTACCTTGTTTGAATCACAATATTTAGGAATCTCTTTGTTATAGCATTGTAACTCAAACTCATCTCTAGTACAACGCTCAATAAATAAATTCTGATTTTCTGCCTCGTCTGTCAATAAAGCAGCCCTGGTGTGTGATACCTGCAGGGTCAGCAGTTGGAAGCCACCAGCCATGGGGGAGAAAGAGGAGCATTTCTATCTGTAAAGATTGAGTCTTGGAAGCCCATGTCAGCAGTTCTGCTCTGTTCTTCAAGGTTACTATGGGTCAGGATCGAGTGTCTGGCAGTGAGCTTGGTTTGGGGTTGGATGTGCCCTGAGGGATGGGTATTGAGCAGGCAGAGGGTGGGCGTGGGTTTTTAGAGCTAGAGGTTTGCTCTGGACCTTTTCCAGGGTCATCCCACTACGAACAAGTGTGGGGTACATTGGCTCATGTCTCCATCTGCTTTCTCAGCTCACAAGTTAGACAAGCTAATACTCCTCTTCCACCTCAGAAATCAAGAAGCATAAGATAGCGGCACAGGGATCTCTCAGAAGTAGCGAGCAAACCGGCTTGTTAGCAGAACTCTTCCTCTTGCATCAGGCTCTGGGGCACTGGAGCAGGTGCGGACTGCAGCAGAAACAAATGCGGTCCTGCCTGGCACACTCTCTCCACCGGGTGCGGAAGGCGATCTGCAAAGATTCCTTGCTTTTATTAGATTTTGGATCTAATGCTGAACTTGCTACTGAGTCACCGTCTTCTGTGCTATAGGGGTCTTCACACTCACTCTGCAGGGTGAAGAAACATAAGCCAGAGAGGTTTAAGAAAGTCCCCAGAGGATGGAGCCTGCAAACGACTCTTGTTCTCACTTCAAGGTGCTGCCCCAACAGGCCCGGCAAGCATGGACCATGCGGGGTGTCCACCACAGAGCAGATGCACAGTCGTGTGCTGGATACATATTTTGGTCTGATGCCCCGAATTGCGAGTGATTGGTCCCCTTGCCTGAGACTGCTGCTGCCCACTGCTGCAGGGTGAGAGCGGGGGGACTATTGGCAGGAACTGAGATGAGGGGAGTCATGTACCCAGATTGGCTCCTGGGCAGCAACACTGGGTTATTTCTCATCCAATGGAACTCGGCCAGACCGAGTGGCCTACCCCCATCCTTCAGATGCCCTTCTGCTCTGGGTCTGCTGTGCTTAATAGATGCAAAAGGCTGAGTCAATGCATCTGGAAATCAATGCCTCCCTTTTCCAGTGATTGGACATCGAAGGGACATCCAAGGGCAGAGGTCACAAGGCCAAGTTCTTTCCCCACAAACACGTCAATCTGATCACTCATGCCCCTTCTGGACATACACGAAAGTTCAGGGTCTACCATCTGGACAGATGATCCTGTCAGTTCCTTCTCAAGACAGCTAGAACAAAAGTCCCCACCCTCCAAGACCTGAAACTATTTTGTCCTTTAGGATCTCTCCACTGAAAACCCATAGGTCTTCTACCATCTGCCTCCAGATGGCCACAGCCTCACTGCGAAATACTTGCCCAAATGTGTGTCCAGCTCTTTTTCAAAAGGGCAGCCCTGCACCAGAGATCTTGGGTCCTTGGGAAAGATCCACCTCTAGAAGGGTCTAGCCTCTTCGTCAGGTGAGTGAGTGAGTGGGGACATTTTAACATTGGCTGAGTTGCTGAGTCAGCTCCATCTGGCCAACCTTCACCTTCCTGTCCATTCCTTCCCAAGGACTCCACCTCTTCTGGTTTTCTGGATTCCACTGCTCCCACACCTTCCAGAGGAGACATGTGGATAGGCCACAGAGGAGGCTCCTAGAACGCTTGGAAGATAAGATTTTTTTCTCCCCGGAGCTCTGAGGAGCTGGGGAGAAGAGGCCCAGCCTCCTGTAGACCTGCCCGAATGGATCCCTTCTTCAATCATACTGCTAAGCCAGTAAGGAAAAGCATGCCTGCTTGCTCGTAGTTCAGAAGCCTGGAACTTCCCTCACTCCTGTCTCCAAATCCCATCACTGTATCAACATCAATTCTAGGAAGCCGCCTCATACCTAGCGGGTCCCACAGGGCCATCTACTCCTCTGATTCCTACTTGAGGCCCACATGTGAGCCAGGTGCTTGTCACAGTCCACTGGGCAAATCTCCAGCAGTCAGAGTGAGCGAAACCCATGTTGGAATCACTGCTCGGGAACCTGGCTGGCTGGAAATAAGCCAGTCAACTCCTGCATCTCAGGGGCTTCAAAACAAGGTCCCTGAGACCCTGCAAAATGCAGGAATGAGGACTTGGCGTCCAGACTTGTCTCCACTTCCTGGCAGAGCAGAGGGGAAAAAGGACATACCAAAAGCTGTTGAGTGGGTTTTTTTTTCCTCTTTTTATTGGCAAAGTAAATATATTTTTTATGAAGGACCAAAGAAAATATACAGAATTGTCACATATGTACACCACCTTTATAGATTTTTAATCTCAAATTTACACAAATGTGGATGTTATTAAAAGATATTTTCTGCATATGCATCTATGTACAGTTTATTTACATACATTCATAGGATGTGAAATAAACCAGTCCAAACAAGCTAGTTTATTTGATATTAATTTCTAGTCCAAATAAGGAATGCATTTCTAAATTAGGATCAATAGGCTCTATCTAGTTCCTTCACACATAATACAGCCTCCCCCCCTCTCTTCCCAGAAGTGGTGAAGAGGTTGGCCAGCGGAGCTTGTCTGGGAATCTTTGGAGGGGACCCACTCAGCAGACTCCTGACAGAGCCTGCTCTGGGGAAGCCTGTGTCTGTCTGTCTGTCGTGGGCATTTAACTCAGGCGATTGCACGGGTCAGCTGTCCTGCCCATCAGCCCTAGTGGCCAGGCACTCTGCCCATAGCTATGCTCAGAGCCCTGCGCAGCTGGACTTTGGGCCTATTTCCTCCTTCCCAGCATGGCTCCCGCTGGGAAACGAGCGTTTCAAAACTGCACATTTCTTCTTCCACAGCAACACAGTGCTGGCCTGGACCCAGGTAGGGAGCCCAGTGGGTGAAGCGCCAGGCCCTTGCCCCGAAGCAGAGGCCACAGCGCTCATAGGGGCCTGGGTCTCAGGCCACTGCCAGCTCCAGTGAAGGCCAGGGACAGCGATGCAGGGGCTCCAGGTCCACAGCCAAGCTGCCCAGTCCTCCTGAGCCTCCTGACTTTGCCAAGGAGGTGCATTGTCGCGTCCCTCGGGAAGCGACAAATAAATTATTGCTATAAAACACCCGGGTGGGTACGCCGCTGGGACGAGGGAGGTTCAGTTTGCTGCGCGCCCAGTGCGGCTGCTGCGCGGAAAGCGGTGCACCTTGATGTGCTTGGAGAGGTGGTCGCTGCGGGCGAACTTCTTCTCGCACACTGGGCACTGGTACGGCTTCACGCCCGAATGTGAGCGCCGGTGCCTGGACAGCTCATCAGACCTCGAAAACCTGCGGGACACGGCGCTCAGCGAGATGGCAGCGAGGGCGTCTCCGACCCCCAGGCTCACCCAGCTACAGAGAAGGCCTGCGGGGCCAGTGGGCCGGGGCTCTGCGGCCTGCATGGCGCATCCGGGCCAGTGCCCACTGGTGAAGTCACTACCTTACCGCCCTCCAAGGTAGAAAGAATATGAAAGACAAGGTTCATGCTGGCAAGGGGTGGCTTGGGCAGCTGTTACTGGCCCACTCATTTACAGTTGAGAGAAGGGACATATGCAACCCCTGGGCCCTTGGATTATAGCTGCATACCCTCACCCTCCTGCCTCATCCCACCTGACTCCTGCACATCCAGGGAAGCCCATCCAGAAGGGGAAACAGGCTTGGGGCAGAGAAGGAGATTCCTTCCTCAGCCCCCCTGGAGTTCCTGTCTCCACTCTTGCTTCCTCTAGGGGGGCAGGGATCGTCAGACGTGATTCCAGTCCCCCACTCTTGGACCTCCAGCAGGGAGGTATCTGTACCATTTTGTATGGTGCAAGGGACATCTCTCTGGCCTCGGCCTGCCAGGGGACATCTGGAGCCTATGAGGCGAAGCTGGGGCTCATGGGGGAACGGAAAGCCAGGCAGGGTTAGGGGCTCAGGCTTTTCTACCATCTTCAGGCACTTGAAGCTTTCCCCACCCCATGATGCAGCTCCTGGCAAGAACAACACTCCCCCTCTGCCCCTGCAATACACCCCCATACACCCTCACCTCTACCTACACAGACCTTTCCTAGGTCCCTCCTGCCACCGGGCAGTTGCAAAAACTCCATCCCTTATTGGCAATGCTCTTGGGTCCTTGCTCGCTCCTACCCATCCTTCAGCGCTCACTTCAAAAGGCACTTCCTTCGTCACAACTGTACTTCCACTCTGGGGCCCCACAGCACGTCACTCTCTCGTGCCCTTTTAAGTTAGTTTGTGCAATGTCGTTTTCCCCAGCCAGGCCATCAGCTTCACCTCCAAGGTTCAGCCCATGCCCCGTGCACAGCCTGTGCTGCATGCATGTCTCTCAGTGAAAGCATGACATGACTGGACACAGTAAACATGCACAGAAGAAAAGGCCTGTGATGAGCTGCCTTCTCGAGGTGCACGCACATCCGTACACGTGCACGTACAATGTGCACGAGCACACACCCCATTCCTGGAACCCAGGCCACAAGACAAGCAGTAGGTTAAGCAGTGCTCCTGAATAGCTGCCATGACAGTACTGATGGCCAGGGCTAGTGGCTCCACTCTGGCCTGCCGCTGCCAATGGAGGCCATGACCCCCAGCCTGACGGGATCAGGGAGGGCCCTGTGGGGGAAGGTGCAGGGGGTGCAGGCATGGGCCCCAGGAGCAGCTGGGCAGCCTGGATGCAGGGTTGAGAAATGCCCTGAGGGCCTCGGCCTTTCTTGCTAAGAGTGCAGTTTCTGGACTTGGAGGTAGGGGGTTCAAATCACACCCCAAAGTGCTGATGAGTAGCTGGCATCGGATTAGTGCTTCGAGCATTGTTTTGTGTTTTGGTTTTTTTAAACAAATGAGGCCTGATGGACCCATCTGTGCTACGAGGAAATGAAAGCCGAGTCAGGAAAGTCTGACCCAGAGCCGTCTGGCAAGACAACGTGGCTGAGGCAGGTACCCTGTCATGGCTGGGGACAATGGAGCCCTGTGGCCTGCAGGTGAGCAGACAATCCTGTCCGAGGTAGCATGCAGAAAGGAGGGGGTGGAGCAGCAGGAGTGCCTCCCAGCACCAGACCCTAGGAATCACTGGACCCCTTCTTGGCCAGGGGGTCAACACTGGCCCATCTGGCTGACAAGACCAAACCAAGACGTCAGAGAAATCAAGGGACCTAAGGGTCGGGTAGCCAGCAGAGCCACGGGGCTCAGTGGCTGGCCTGCGGGACCATCGATGGTCTTTGCCACCTTGAAGCCCAATGTGCCTAAGAGCAAGCCACCAAACTACCATGGACCTCAGCCAGTGGACAGTAAAGACCTGGGGAGCCTGGTCCGCCTCCTAGGCAAGTCCTAGAAGTCTAAGAGGCCAAGGCAGGGTCCTTTCATCATAGCAAGGGCAGTAAACGGAGGGAAAACCAAGCCAGAGAACAAGCTCTCCTCACTTCCAACCCTCTGCCCGTGACACCGCGTCCTGGGACCTGGCCTGTTCTAGGAAGCAGAGTG